TATATATATACATATATATATGTATATACACACACACACACACACACACACACACACACACACACACACACACACACACACACACACATATATATATATATATATATATATATATATATATATATATATATATATATATATATATATATATATATGTATATATATATATATATATATATATATATATATATATATATATATATATATATATATATATTATATATATATATATATATATATATATATATATATATATATACATATATATATATATATATATATATATATATATATATATATATATATATATATATATATATATATATATACACGCACACATATATATATATATATATATATATATATATATATATATATATATATATATATATATATATATATATATATATATATGTATATATATATATATATACATATATATGTATATATATGTATATACATATATTTGTATATATATATATACTGACTCGTACTGAAGACGTCTCTACTGACTGCAGTAGTCATGATCACAGGGCGTGCGGGATGCTCCCTCTACCAACACATTATCATTTTGTGTGTGTATGAAATGTACAGACATATAATGCATCGTGTGAAACGTTTAGAGTAACATGCTTATAAACTGATTAGTCACATATTTGTAAAATTAGATATTGTTAAATGTGCCACATCTAAAGCTAAGTACAAAGTGATAGATAGTCACGATATATACATTCATATGTATTCAGCAGTTGTAATATTCGCCTTAGGAGTAGTGGCAGCAGAATCAGCAGTAGTAGTGGTGGTTGTGAGTATTGTAGCACTAGTAGTACGATCTATATTCGTTAGCTCTGGGTTCTTATAAAAAAAGTAATTTGGCTTTTAGTTTACATTTCAATTCAGTTGATGCATTTAGAGGCTGTATCAGTTTCAATGAACATTGTATTTGGTATATAACATTATTTTGACATATAACAGTAACTTCTTACAGCATCGGGTGCTTACATGTCTACTAAAAGGAGTCAACCTCATAATTTTCCTCTTTCTTAAACCTCCAGCATTATTTACTATATAAGCAATTCCTCGTTGTCTATTAGTCTTAGCGATGAATTTCACAAAAAAATAACGGAGGAAGATTAGCACTGTACTTCTTTAAATGTATTTTATTATTTATTGTATTCTGGATTTACGCTAGATTTGAATTTAGTACTAAATTCCCCATACAACTCGAGTCAATTATTTCGCAACCTTGAACTGAGGAATAATATTTTGTATACTCCCGCGTCTCCCATTTAATGTTATTTATGCCTATTTTGAGAGGCTGCTTGGTCACTATTGCTCTCGAGCGTCTACTGTCGGATGAAGTTGTCTATTATACTGTGTAGTACGGATAATGTCAGTCAGGATGAGGCTGATCGTGCAAATTCAATTTTACAGTATATACAGGTTCTGTCAAATATTTCCTTTCTATCACCTCTTGTTTTGAGCCGCACAGCAAGTAATATAGAAAATATGAGAGATAAATGCCAAGGAGATATAATGGGTAGAAAGTATGGCATATAAGGGTAGAAAGACGGAATAACTTACACCTTGCGACGAAGTAAATGAAGAAAGTATTATTAAAGATATTTATTAAAAATAACAATCTAGTGGGGTTTTTTAAATAATAATAGCAAAACGAAGAGAAGGCTATTTCTATCATAATTCGTTTGTTTTGAAGAACGTTGTTATTTAATAATGTTGCACATCGCACAAGCACTTTTGTGTTTATGGAGCTGTAGAACAGTCAACAAACATTATAAAGCGAAAGATTAGACTGTAAGGTTTTACTGTTTTCACAAACTTATTAGCGCTGAGATGGTAATCATACCGCCCTTTAATTTGAAGCTTGGGCTGACAAAAAATTGATTTTTTTGAAAGCCACGGATCATGACGGTGTTGGTCTTCACTGTTTGGTAAGTCTGGTAAGATACCGCAGAAGAAGCTATGTAAAGGAAGGTGTTTTCAGTGGGTTTAAATTGCCTGTCTGGATGAATATGGCTCTGCAAATACAGGATCTGGGAAGGGCTGCTTCGAATGTCTCCATGGAAATTATCAAAACTATCATGAGAATGTTTCGAGTTAAAACTCACTCTGAGATATTGCTGAAAAGTTGTGAACCGCTGGGTGCTCCTAAGTTATATGCTCCTCCATTCTCCACTAGATTTCATTCCACAACATTTTGGCGATATTCGCTATATAACGAAAACCCACTCCACTAAGTAACTGACATCATTTATACGTCAATGATGATTCTGTATGGCGGATTGCGGCGAGAATGCAAAGGACTGCCAAAGCATTTTTAAAACATCTGAACTAGAGATTATATCAAGGAACGTTACCTTTGATCTACATATTTTTTCATTCCGAATGTTACCCACGGTTATAACTTGATATGTGAAGAGAATGATAACTTGTATTAAGCTGATATATGACTGATATGGTGGATTATATTATCTTACCA